ACAGAATTTGTCTGTAAACAAAGGGCAGCAAACTTTTTCTGCAAAGAAACCATGAAAAATTTAGACATTAGAGATCATACAGTCTCTACAGTGGCTAATCATTCTACTATTATAGAACAAGAGCAGCCCCAACACAAGTAAGCATGACTGTGTTGCAATAACATTTCATTCACAAAACGAGCGGTGGGCCAGATCCAGCCAATGAGCTACAGATTACCAACCTTTGACATGAACATTGATATGGTCTTTCATTTTTTACATATTTTATATATTTTTAAAAAGCATCCTATGTAAAACCCCAATATTATAATAAGGCACAATTTGAAACCATAAGAGTGACTCCAATTCTACAACTTCACTAGCAGGTTTGCAGTTCTTATTCACATGGACGGTGATACATATAATTTGAAGGTGCTGGATTATATTCTGAAGTTGACAAAGAATGGCTAAATAGGCACTACTCTTCTAGGATACAAACATAATTCCAATCTAATTATCTAATCCACTCTAGGAATTCCTCACATGCTGCTTATTTTTCTCCAAGGGAGTAAGTTACAAACTTAAGAAATATATCTACCGTCTTTCGGGCTATTATGTAACAATTTCCTAAACATTGGGTGTTCAGAAAAGTCATGATGTATTTTTTTATGCAAAAATAAATGTGTCATGACATTTCCGACAATACAATAGTGACCACAAGATAGAAAAAATAAACAAATAGAAAGAAGAATTGGATGGTACTTCAATCTTCTCCCTTAAAGAATTATATGCTTTAACAAGTGCAGGGGCATAAGATGTATTTTTCCAAAGCAAGAGCTTCAAAGACAGTAGAAGTTTACATTTTCATCCTGCTCCATTTTGTAGGCCTAAGTCTGTTAAGACAATTGCCCTCCTACTGTTCTCGACATCAGTTTAAAGATGAAATGCTGCTTGTAAATACCTTACAGTTATATCATAGATAGCAATGGTATAATAAAAGCAGGCATTTATATCACTTCATTCCCCCAATTAACTCTAAAAATTGCTACATTGTGAGCCAACACTATATCCCTTTGAATAGTACTTCCCAAGATAGACAGCGAGATAGATAGATAGAGATAAATGAATGGATATGGATAATCTCCTGTATTCTTTTTTTATAATTATTTTATTTAACCTTATTTATTATTATTATTATGATTATGATTTAATTTGATCATGAGAGAGAGGGAAAGTGAGAAAACAAGCTGCCAGGTCTGGAACTCAAACCACGATCAACCATGTGTGAGTCCAGCATCTTTAACCACCACACCACCTGCTAGCCTTGATAATCTCCCATATTCTAATTCAGCACCTGAGATGGCCTACTTTCCCTTTTAATAATGTTTGCTAAATTAGTAAGAAAACTGAAATACAAATCTAAAGGTTATGCTACCCATGTGGATTACAGTTAATGGTAGAGGATGGCCTGTCTGACCTATCATCCTTGTATTTTTTTCTAGTTTTTATCCTTTTTTGTGCTTAAAAGGTTTTTTTTTTTTTAGTGGCTGCACCTTGGAAAGAGGTCACCTGTGCTTCAAAGGATGGCACTAAAAGAGGTCAGCAGAGGTGACTGGGGTTGAGTCCGAAGAGGGGAGGGAAGCAGGTGGCAGAGACAGGTACAATAGGAAAACACATTTTAATATTTATTTTCCTATGATTAAGAATGTATTCTATCAATGTCTCAGATCTGCACCTGGATACTCAGTAACATTTGTGGCAGTGTCTATTTTGTTTTTAATGTAATAATTTCCAATTTCAGGTTGGCAAATTACACAAACTGCAGTTGTAAAATGAAAGATAGGTGCAATCCGCCTCCGGATCCCTCTAAATTGCTTCTGCTTCCCCCAGGCTATCCAACTGGAGGACGTTAAGTTTCAATGTGCCAATATAGCTTCATACTCTCTGTTCATGGACACCTAGTAAAAGCGCCATGAATGGATTTGTAGAACTAAAGCAAAATCTATTTTGTATACTATAAAGATGTGCAGTGATTGAATGTAAAAAAAAATGTAAGAAAATAAAGGAAAAATCTAAAGCAAAACAAATTCTCTGAGAATCACATTGTACAAAATATTTTTGTACTCCGTGCCTCAATGCAACACAATTTATGAATTAAACTTGTGGCCATGGAAAATAGGTTGCAAGAAAATATGGTTTCCTATATGATGCATAATTAAGGAAATATTAGAGTACAGCCACAAAACTTTTTATTTCAGGTATTTCATGCACATTATTCTTACAGTGAAGATTACCAAATCAAATGAAAAACCAAAAATCAATTTTCCATACTTATAAAATTGTGAAATTCCTGCCCACTCTTGAGGCCTATCCAGGAATAATTTCTTATACAGAGTAAAAGAGTGCCAAGAACAAGTGAGAAAGTGGATGTTTTAAAAACTATGGGCATGCGGGAAAAGGAAACCGAATCAGCCTTTACTTTGACAAATTCTGGCGACACCATATAATGATTTGTTCCTCTGGGCCCCGCAGAAACTTTGGCTGCCAGATTCTATTGCCTTCAGGCTGCCTTTGCACTTCCTTGATATTTGGAAGCTGCAAGGTAATACTCCTTTTTCTTGTAAAGCTGACCCAAGAACATCAAGGGAGAGAGGAGACGTAACCCATCTGTTTTGCAGCTGGAGAAAAATTGAAAATTGAAATGGAATTGAAGCTGAACTGCACAATAATCCACGTTCTGCACATAGAAATTCAGTAGCAGCATCCAGGAGGCAGGGGAATATATGAATGCTAGGTAGGAGCAGCGTGTGATCGGGGCCCCTCTGCATGACTCCAGCACAGCCCACATGACAGCGTGCAGTGTTATATAATCTCCCCATTCAATGCTAGGATGAAGTATTTGTAGGCCAAAAGAGTAAATATTATTTACCTTTCATTTATACTGATAACTAGCATGACAAACAGGTTTCTGGCAATATCATTATGACTGTTCCAGAACTTTAGATCGGTCCCTTTTTAATAGAGCCAACCTCAACAAGTTTCAAAGTGCGAAGTTTGTTTTCAGCTCTCCCTTACATTCCAGAATTTTCGTATTCCCTTTAAGTTTTCTCTGTTGTTTCCACAAGCCAGTCATTTAGATTTATATGGTACTGTAAGGGTAGGGACAAGAAAACAACATTCACAAAGGTCTGTCTTCATAACCCATTCTCTGCAATTTTTTTTTTTTTTTTGGTCCGTAAGGCATGTACACCTATGAGAGAGAGAGAGAGAGAAAGTGAAAAGGCACCTCCAGGAGAGATGGTCATGCTGCAATCTCTTCTCCATTCTCTTCTTGGAATTTCGGGCATGCACACATGCACACGTACCCAGAGTTTCCCAAGCCAGGAATTCCTGGGTCCAGGACCTGAACCATGAAGTCAGCCATGTATAATCCAGCCACCTTAACCACCACACCACTGACTGGCCTGCTCTGCACATGTTAAGATCTCTTTATTCTCATCAAAGCAGATCTTCTTACACTCTGTTCCCTGGGAACCTTGCTAGGTAAGTAGCTTACGACTGCATGGCCAGTGCGGTGAAGGATGATCATGACTAAATAGCCCACCAACTTTCTCATGAACATCTCTCCAACCTCCTTTCACTCACCAGCAGGTTGCGAAAGAAGTGCTATGTGGATGATACGATGCTTGGAAAAACTATAGTGGCACCAGGATCTGACTATTCTTTCCCAAAGGAAACCACCAAAAGGATCAGCAGTTAATTGAAATTGCTTTCCCTTCACACTCCCTTTCAATAAGTAAGAAACTAGATACATTATGTCATCATAAGGAGAAAAATTGGATTTGCTTGTGCTGAGTGTGTGTCCTATATCATCACTGCTCTAGTGATGACAGACCAGTGCAGGGTAAGTGGCCAAAAGTGACTGAGGCACCAAGAAGATGAAGAGGTAAAGTACAGAAAGGGAAACCTAGAACACGGGTCTTCCTCCCTGCCCGGTCCGCCCCTCACGCAAGTGTGACGTAACAGCACACGTGCCCTTCACCTCCTGAAGACTCAGTGTCCTTATCTGGAATCTGGGAGTGAATGAATATTTCTTTTTTAAAAAGTTTCTTTCTTTCTTTAATGAACAAGAGAGACAGGGAGAGAGAGAGAGAGAAGAAGGAGACAGAGAGAGAGACACCTTCAACAGGGTCTTTATACCATAATTTACCCCAGCCACAAACAGCCCCGGATCATGGACACGTGCACTCAATTAGTTCAGCAAGGTCTCCAGATGGGAACCAGAAGCATCCCACATGGGTCAGCTGCAGAGATTGGCATTCCCACTGCGCTGCTGTTCAGCCCAGTTCTCAGGGTACTCAGGGGGCTACAGTGAGGTTTACATGGGGTCCTACAGACAGAGTTTGGCCTAGAAACTGTCATAAAGTTAGCTGTTCAAAAATGTTATCTGCTGTTATTAGCTTTTGGTCCCTCAGCAGCTGTTTAACTTTCTTTTAGAATAATTTGCTTGAAAACTTGCCTCTTATTTTTCTCTGTAAGTGATAAAAATAAAAGTATTTGATGAGTAATAGTGTATATGATAAATAACCCTACTTCCTTAAGATTTACAGCCAATCTGTGCATCACATTTAAGCTGACTTCTTGAAACAATTTCTAGCACATTCTACTTGCAGTCAGATGAAGTGGCAATTTTCTTGAAATATGGAGCCGTTTGGAGCTGGGCAGAACATGTATTCAGGCTCATAAACATAAACCTTTTTTATGCAGCATTTAAACATGAACTATGCAACTAAAATATAAACAAAATAATTTCAGGAATAAAGAGAGATAGCTAAAGGAAAACTGAGAGAAAGTTAAAAAAAGAGAAGCAGAAGCTAAGTTTTCTACAATGTGAAAGAACTGATGAGGGATTAAAATTCTGTGTGTGTGTGTGAATGTTCTTAGAGGAAGACACCATACCCTGGAGATTGTTTAACATTATGTGTCACGTGACTTTGGTCATTGTTTCTTGTTATTCTGACCTCGTTCTAGCAGCCCCAGCCCAAGCCTGTCTTCGGCGATGACAACCGTATAGCGATGCTGAGCGAGAATGTGCTGGTGGAGCCCCAGCTCGACTTTGCTGTAGGAAGGAGGCCTGTAGAGTACAGCCCTTCTGCCGTGACTGCCAAAGTGGGTCTCGATTGATCCTTCGATCTAAGAAAAGAAAGAAGGCACAAAAATTCAAGATGAAAAACTAGTACGCTTCCCTCGAAGGACATCATTAATGCAAATTCAAGGACCATTCAGAAAGTTATCCTTTCAGGTGTTTTTCTAGAAATGAAAGACAGATTCACTGGCAGGCTGAAAAGGACAAAAACAACCTCATAGGCAAGAACTGAAGGTGAATTGAATTGTTCTCATGGTTACAGAAACATGAAAATTTTAGGCCATTAAAATATAAAAGCTCCTTAGAGGAATACCACTATGTAGAAGTAGAAAGCTCAACCCTTGCTGAAAATATGGATTAATAGCAATGCCTTTCATCTGCATCGTGCTTTTATAAAGTAGTTCCAGCTGCATTATCTTTTAATATCTCTTTTAGGTAAATACAGCAGAGGAAACAGAAGCAGAGAGGATGGGTTTTGTGCTGGAAGGACATGGTTAGGGAGAAGGACAGCTGAGGAGCAATCTCGGAGCTCGGCCAAAAGAGTAAATATTATTTACCTTTCATTTATACTGATAACTAGCATGACAAACAGGTTTCTGGCAATATCATTATGACTGTTCCAGAACTTTAGATCGGTCCCTTTTTAATAGAGCCAACCTCAACAAGTTTCAAAGTGCGAAGTTTGTTTTCAGCTCTCCCTTACATTCCAGAATTTTCGTATTCCCTTTAAGTTTTCTCTGTTGTTTCCACAAGCCAGTCATTTAGATTTATATGGTACTGTAAGGGTAGGGACAAGAAAACAACATTCACAAAGGTCTGTCTTCATAACCCATTCTCTGCAATTTTTTTTTTTTTTTTGGTCCGTAAGGCATGTACACCTATGAGAGAGAGAGAGAGAGAAAGTGAAAAGGCACCTCCAGGAGAGATGGTCATGCTGCAATCTCTTCTCCATTCTCTTCTTGGAATTTCGGGCATGCACACATGCACACGTACCCAGAGTTTCCCAAGCCAGGAATTCCTGGGTCCAGGACCTGAACCATGAAGTCAGCCATGTATAATCCAGCCACCTTAACCACCACACCACTGACTGGCCTGCTCTGCACATGTTAAGATCTCTTTATTCTCATCAAAGCAGATCTTCTTACACTCTGTTCCCTGGGAACCTTGCTAGGTAAGTAGCTTACGACTGCATGGCCAGTGCGGTGAAGGATGATCATGACTAAATAGCCCACCAACTTTCTCATGAACATCTCTCCAACCTCCTTTCACTCACCAGCAGGTTGCGAAAGAAGTGCTATGTGGATGATACGATGCTTGGAAAAACTATAGTGGCACCAGGATCTGACTATTCTTTCCCAAAGGAAACCACCAAAAGGATCAGCAGTTAATTGAAATTGCTTTCCCTTCACACTCCCTTTCAATAAGTAAGAAACTAGATACATTATGTCATCATAAGGAGAAAAATTGGATTTGCTTGTGCTGAGTGTGTGTCCTATATCATCACTGCTCTAGTGATGACAGACCAGTGCAGGGTAAGTGGCCAAAAGTGACTGAGGCACCAAGAAGATGAAGAGGTAAAGTACAGAAAGGGAAACCTAGAACACGGGTCTTCCTCCCTGCCCGGTCCGCCCCTCACGCAAGTGTGACGTAACAGCACACGTGCCCTTCACCTCCTGAAGACTCAGTGTCCTTATCTGGAATCTGGGAGTGAATGAATATTTCTTTTTTAAAAAGTTTCTTTCTTTCTTTAATGAACAAGAGAGACAGGGAGAGAGAGAGAGAGAAGAAGGAGACAGAGAGAGAGACACCTTCAACAGGGTCTTTATACCATAATTTACCCCCACCACAAACAGCCCCGGATCATGGACACGTGCACTCAATTAGTTCAGCAAGGTCTCCAGATGGGAACCAGAAGCATCCCACATGGGTCAGCTGCAGAGATTGGCATTCCCACTGCGCTGCTGTTCAGCCCAGTTCTCAGGGTACTCAGGGGGCTACAGTGAGGTTTACATGGGGTCCTACAGACAGAGTTTGGCCTAGAAACTGTCATAAAGTTAGCTGTTCAAAAATGTTATCTGCTGTTATTAGCTTTTGGTCCCTCAGCAGCTGTTTAACTTTCTTTTAGAATAATTTGCTTGAAAACTTGCCTCTTATTTTTCTCTGTAAGTGATAAAAATAAAAGTATTTGATGAGTAATAGTGTATATGATAAATAACCCTACTTCCTTAAGATTTACAGCCAATCTGTGCATCACATTTAAGCTGACTTCTTGAAACAATTTCTAGCACATTCTACTTGCAGTCAGATGAAGTGGCAATTTTCTTGAAATATGGAGCCGTTTGGAGCTGGGCAGAACATGTATTCAGGCTCATAAACATAAACCTTTTTTATGCAGCATTTAAACATGAACTATGCAACTAAAATATAAACAAAATAATTTCAGGAATAAAGAGAGATAGCTAAAGGAAAACTGAGAGAAAGTTAAAAAAAGAGAAGCAGAAGCTAAGTTTTCTACAATGTGAAAGAACTGATGAGGGATTAAAATTCTGTGTGTGTGTGTGAATGTTCTTAGAGGAAGACACCATACCCTGGAGATTGTTTAACATTATGTGTCACGTGACTTTGGTCATTGTTTCTTGTTATTCTGACCTCGTTCTAGCAGCCCCAGCCCAAGCCTGTCTTCGGCGATGACAACCGTATAGCGATGCTGAGCGAGAATGTGCTGGTGGAGCCCCAGCTCGACTTTGCTGTAGGAAGGAGGCCTGTAGAGTACAGCCCTTCTGCCGTGACTGCCAAAGTGGGTCTCGATTGATCCTTCGATCTAAGAAAAGAAAGAAGGCACAAAAATTCAAGATGAAAAACTAGTACGCTTCCCTCGAAGGACATCATTAATGCAAATTCAAGGACCATTCAGAAAGTTATCCTTTCAGGTGTTTTTCTAGAAATGAAAGACAGATTCACTGGCAGGCTGAAAAGGACAAAAACAACCTCATAGGCAAGAACTGAAGGTGAATTGAATTGTTCTCATGGTTACAGAAACATGAAAATTTTAGGCCATTAAAATATAAAAGCTCCTTAGAGGAATACCACTATGTAGAAGTAGAAAGCTCAACCCTTGCTGAAAATATGGATTAATAGCAATGCCTTTCATCTGCATCGTGCTTTTATAAAGTAGTTCCAGCTGCATTATCTTTTAATATCTCTTTTAGGTAAATACAGCAGAGGAAACAGAAGCAGAGAGGATGGGTTTTGTGCTGGAAGGACATGGTTAGGGAGAAGGACAGCTGAGGAGCAATCTCGGAGCTCTTTAGAGTTAAATGATGCTGCCGCTTCTGTAAGTTAGAATGCTGTAGAATGTGAGTGCATTTTGGTGAGGTCTCTGTGCACGAGAAGAGGAGAGCTCCTGAAGTGTAATTCTAGGCTCTTCCTTCAATAGTCGATTGCTCCCCCATATAAATACTCCTCTTTCTCACAATGATACTTAAAACTCCATTAACGAAGGGAATGTTTGAACAGACAAGTCGAAAAGAGGCTACAATTAAAATTCATTTTAAGACTTAGTGCTAGATATAGGGCATTTTTCTGAGTCTCAAACTTGAAATTGAACCTTGAAAAAAAAAATGAAAGTGTTTCTTATTTTTAGAAGGACTGCTGAGATTGGGTGAAGGTCAGAGACAAAAAGGGGAGAAGACAAGAAAGAAGAGGCAAAGGAGATGGTGGAAGAAGATGAGAGGGAAAAAGAAAATTAGGAATCGGAATTATATCTAATGGCAGTTCTGGATCAACCTGTCCATTTTATGGGTCTTAAAACACAATATGTACCAGATTTTTTTCCTGTACTTAAATGTCATTTCCCATTATTGATAGAATTGATTCCATGTCTTTGTTTTTTTTGTTTGTTTGTTTGTTTTTTGGAGAGGTTTTTGCTATAGGGCGCATGCGCTTGCCAGAAAGACAAAGAGACAGAGAAACAGAAATCACCCTCCCAGGGAGGATGGCCTTGCCACAATCCCTTCTCCTCCATTCTCCCTTGGGTTCTTGGGCACACACGCACACGTGCCCAGCGTGAGTTTAAGCCACCAAGTCCGGGACTCAAATCGCGGTCAACTACAGGTGAATCCAGCGACATAGCCATAATACCATCTGCTGGTCCCATCCATGTCTTTGTTAAGGAACACAAAGGCATTCAAATTTAGTCTCTGTCTTCCTTCTCTGGTCACATCATACTCTATTTTTTATTTATTTATTTGTTTATTTATTTATTTGGCTACAGGGTGTGTGTGGCCTAATGCAGAGAGGAGAGACAAAAAAGCTCCCTTCTTCCCCCATAAGGAATAGTGATACCACAACCCTTCTCCTCTATCTCTCCCTCCTTTCAGAATTTTGGGGACCGATGCATAAGGGTGGTAGTACTTTTCAAACCACTGGTTCCTGGACTTGAACTACAGGGTGGGCCATATGCGATCCAGCCACTTTAACCATCAAGCCATGAAGCCAGCTCACATCTCACTCTTAATCATTCCCATTCCTAATCTCCATCTTGCTGCTTTGTACACTACTGTGCCTTCCACTTACGATTCCTTCCCCTCTCCGTGCAGCCATCTATCAAACTTCACAACATCTCTGGAGATTCACACGTTATCTCTCTTGAAACGCTTTATTTAAAATACATACTTCATGAGCATTTATGAAAAGAAATAGTGTCTGTCCCTCACATCAGCTCCTTAGCAGTCAGGTATGCATTGTTCAGACAGCTCCAGTGTCTATTTCAGTCTATGGCATCTGCTACAGGCTTAATAAATAAAGGTATTAAGTCAATGAATAAACCATAGTGCTCTATCAAAATCCTGGGAGGAATCAGGCTTGCTCAGAGCTGCAGGGGTACAGGGCTGCCCAGACACGAAGGATCCCATATGACCAGTTTGAGTCCCTAACTCAGTCAGCCTGAAACACTCTGAGCACAAACACAAATATCCCAGGATTCCGTGGGTTAGAGGTCTGGAGATAGGAAATCATGACGTGACCACACCCTGTGGAGGATGTACATCTCTCTGTCTCTCTGACACACACATGCCTGTGCTCTATCATCAGCAAAGGGAAAAAAAATGGTTTTAAAATCTAAATAAATCGACGGAAAAAAAAATAAAAGAAGAAACAGATATAAGTTGTCATGTATTTGAGGGCAGAATTCATATCCTATTGTTCACTGCATACAAGCAATGGGTATCTGAAATGAATAGACAAGGCATATAGGAGTGTAGCAAGACAAAAACACTAGCGTGAAACTACTGGGTTCAAATCCCCTGACTCCTGCAGTACGATTTGTTTCACCTTCAAAAATACCTTCCTCCTATGGGTACTACAATGATTAGAAAGTTAATATTTCTTTTATTTTCTAAGTTTATTACCGTATTCTTTCATGAGAGCGAGAGAGACAGCTTTAGCACCCATGCACATTAGAAAGACAGAGACATAGAGAGAGAGACACACACAGGCATCCTCGAAAGAATCTCATTACACCGTGATCTTGTCTCCCAGCCCTATAGTCAGTCAGGATCCTGGGGCTCCACATGTGCCTGGCATGTTTCAGATTGACTGGGGATCTGAACTCATGGTCAGCCATGTGGCACCCAATACTACAGATGTAGCTGAAGTTGGGGGTGGATTGCGGCATGAGGACTCTGTTAGGAGTCCTCTCTCTCCCTCTTTGGGAAAACAAAAAAGACACTTAAATAAAAGAAATAATAGTTTACTCCCAGATTCCAAAAAAGAGGAAGCTGAGTCTTCACGAGGTGAAATGGCTCTCATTATTCTGCACCAGGCGAGAGGGAAGGATGGGGAGAAGATCCGTGTCCCAACTCTCCCTTTCTATACTCTTTCTTTACTTCTTGACACGTCAATCTCTCTTTTGAATAATTATCCTGTACTAATCTGTTGTTATTAGGTAACCACCCCAGCAGGGCCAAAAGTTAGTATTTCCTTATTACATATAAAGTGCTCAGAACCATGCCTGCCACATAGGAAGTACTCCACATGTGTTTAAAAAAATAGTAACATATCGTAAAGAACAAGAAGTTGGGAAGACCATTTCTGAGTTTTAGCTCTACCAGGCACATTCTAACAGGTGTTTGATTTCTGTATGCTAAATGTCGTGGAAAGCTATAGAACAGTGGAAGATCCCACCTTTTGTACCTGGTACTTTGCAAAAACATGATTGATTTGATATTTTCCCTTGTTAAAGAATATTGCATTGTACGGATAAGGAAACTATATACATCCAAGAACTGAGACTGGGACATGATTCCCCTGTGAATATTGTAATTGCTTGTAATGATAGCCTTTCAAGGAGTGTTTAAACTGAACACAAGTTGAGCCTTTGGACACAGTGGCTAGAGATTGCAGGAGGCCAAAGTAAACAAGCAAGTGTCTAGGTGAAAGGGGAAAACGGGTGCTTCCAAATATACCAGTGCCAGTCAAGGGAAACACACAGTATCTAGAGTTCCCTTCTCACATTATTTTCTTTTGAAATCACAGGATGCTTACAGCTAGTTCAAGGATAGAAGGATTTCATATGACAAGAGTATATTTAAAACTTTATTATTTGGGGAACTGGCAGGTGGTGTGGTGGTTAAGGTGCTGGACTCCCACATGACCAATAATGGTTCGAATCCCAAAATTGTTTGCTTTCTCACTTTCTGTCTGTCTATCTCTCTCTGGTCAAATTAAAGTAATAGTAATGATAACTAATAAAAATTAAATAAGTAATTCTAAAAAAAAATATTATTTTTAAGTTTATTTATTTCTTCCATGACAGACAGAAAGACAAAGATCAAGAGACTGGCATCCTCTGCAGGGTCCTCATTATATGATCCACCATTAATCTCAACTGGCCCAGAGCACTGGCATGCATGGGTGCCCTCTGTGCCCAGGGAGGTCCCAGGACACAAACCAGAACATTTTCCACATGAGTCCAGTTGTATTACGACTGTGACACTGCCTGATCCCTCAATTTTCTTTGCTTTGTTTTGTTTTAAAGATACCACTTTTGCTTCTTCCCCAACCAGGCTCAGTTTGAGCAACAGCAATGTTGCATTTCCTGGTATATCTTCTATAGAGACTATTCTAAATAATGTATAATTTCTGGCCAATGTTTATATGCTTATGTCTTAGACTCTAGGGAATAAATAGGAAATGAGCTTGTCAGTAAAATTATTTTGTATTATCCTGTAATACAAACTGCTCCTGTCCTTGTAATATTTATAACACACTGTATCAGCAGAATGGCCCAATACCAAAGGGCAAGAACAGTTTTAGATGGTCCGACAACAGGTGCATACACTGTGTATGTGAAATAAAAGCTATGTGAACAATTATGTCAACCACATCAGCAAATGTGGGATTCTTAGCAGCGCTTTTGGAAATAAGAGTTTCTGATTACTCCTACAATTTTGAAGATATAAATTTTAGTGGAAGGATACATTTAACCTGGTTACCACTACAACTCAACTTGAGACTTAACAAACCCTGCTGACCAGAATTTAGAAAGAAATGAGTGCTAATAGATGTTAATACTTTAAACTCCCGAATCACTTGCCTCTTTTCTTGAGACATTGGCAAAGTATTTCCCCAGCAAGCACTTTGCCAGACTGCACGAAAGACGGTGTATAACTGAACACTTATTATTTGTATTGGAAGGACTTCAAAATCTGAAGTCGTTATGCCCCCTTAGATAAAGCAAGGGATAGAATGTTGTAATAAACTACTCAAGTGTTAGATGAAGCCATGCAGAATGAGACAAGAGCAGACCAGAGAATCAAAAAA